TTTTTTTTTTTTTTTTTTTTCTATTGTGAATAATGCTGCAAGATTTCTAGGGTATATACCTAGGAGTGGGATTGCTAGATCCTAAGGTATTTCTATTTCTAGTTTTCTGAGGAAGTGCTATATCATTTTCTGTAGTGGTTCTATCGGTTTACAGTCCTACCATGGTGTAGTGCCTAAGGCATTTGACTGCTAACCAGAAGGTTGGTGGTTCAAACCCACCAGCCGCTCCGTGGAAGGAAGACTAGATGATCTACTTCCATAAAGATTTATCACCTTGGAATCTCAAAGGGAATTGCTATGAGTCAGAATCGGTTCTGGTAGTGAGTTTTTTTTTTTTTTTTAACCATAAACAAAAATAAGCAGAGTTTGTGTTGGGGAAAAGTTTAATATAGAGATGTCATTAGCAAGCACTGTGACATCCACAGGATCCAATTTTGATTCACACTCCTTGTCTCTTTAATCTTCATTTTGACTCCTGATCTGGGAATCACTATCTTTGTTTAACAAGTGAGAAGCCTGAAAGATTTTGACTTGTTCAAGTGTATTTAGATAGATAGAGTTGGCACAAACTAAAACCCCTTCCCAGGTTTCTTCCTCGGGGCTGCATGACTTCTCCCTTATCTGGATGCCGTCACTGCTGACTGCAGCATTGCTGTGGAGCCAGGAGGGAGTTAAAAGTTGCCTAAAGAAAAGTAGGAGTCATGATTCTCTTGGGGCATCATTCTTGAAGAGGAAAGATGTGATCACTTGTCGAGAGGACTCTCCATTGTCTGTGTCTGTGTGTTTGCAACCTCTGAGAAGGAGTTCTCTTTCTGATGCACAGGACAGATAACTATAGGATTTTCCATATGACGGTCCCAACACATGATGCAGGGCCTCAATAAGCTTTCAAACTGATGTGTCAGGGTATAAATATGGGACTGATCATCTATATTGAAGAAGGAGATAGTCCCACCCTTATAGTCTAAGAAGATCCCCACTTTTGTAGGTTTGGTGCTTGGGAAAAGGGTGATTCTGTGGGGGTTGAGTGTGAAATATTCATGTTGTTCAGTCAGTCCAAAGACCCAGAACCCATTTTGGGAAAACAAAGGTATAGACCTGTTTGTATCATCCCGGCACACTCCCAACTGCCACCCTTTCTCATGTCCCACACCGACTTCCCAGTAATGTTTTCCTGCAGAGAAACCCTGAGAAGCCACAACACATTTCATCCCTATAAATCTCTTCTCTGAGTCAGGCATCTTCTGGGGAGCAACACTATGGGTTACAGTTTTCAGATCAGAAATGCGGAGCTGTGGGTGAGCTGTGTCTGGGTCCAGAGTCACCTCCACTAGGGCACAGTTGAGGAGGGGTAAAAGACAGAGAACATGAGTTACTAGGGAAGAATCAGGGCTGAATCCAGAGGTCATTCACCCCCACTCCATCCCCGCCACAGACTGCCTCAGAGTGAGATCAAGTGAGTTCCTGGGGCCAGAGACTCCATCAGACACTGCCCTCCCAACATTTCCCTCATCTTTAGTGTATTACAAAAGTGTCACCAATGCCTTGGAGATGTCTGAGGTCATAAATTCCTGTATATCATCCCAACCCTACCACTGTTCTTGCACAATTTGACTTGGCAGCCTCGAATGTTTCAAGGTTTCAGCTTCCTCCCACCCATCAGTTCCTTTCCAAATCCATTTCTTTACCACTCAGCCTCATGGTCAGTTATTAGTGCCCTCAATTCCCACGAGCTCTGCCTGCCACCCCCCACCCTGGTTTAACTCAGCCTGTCTTCTTTACTCCTACACCTGTACTGTGAAGTGAGTATTGGGAAAGCTGCATCTTGGGGTGGCTAGGTGCATCACAGATTCTTCATCTTCAGGATGGATGGGCTTTGGTGTCACTAAGTAGCCCCATATTCTTCTGTTTAGCTCTTGCTCCCATGCCTACTACACTCTGTCACACTTCACCCCTCAGGCATTGGTACCTGCATGAGTCCGGGCCTCCCTCAGTTCTGAAAACAAGCAAACAGAGAGCTGGGTCAATACTAACATTAAGAGCAGGAGGCAGAGAAAGGGGAGAGATCAATGGTAGTTGTCTTTTTTGGGTATCATTGCCCTGCTTGAGATGTGATGAAGACTATGGGCCTCTCTACAAATACGTACCTTACCCAACCTCAATAGAAAAAGTAAGGATGCTCTAAACACTGAAGTCCGTCACAAGCTTTCCTCTGCAGAGACTCCTGGTGTCAGTTTATAAGAATCTATAAACTAAGGATATGGAAAGGAGAGCAAATGGGGGAGAGAATAATAGTTCTCACCTGCTTGTTCTTCCATCCTTCTCCATTCTGAAACCAAGAAAACACAGAAGAGGCTTAAATGGTAGAACAAGTGCATGAGGAGAAGTGGGCAGAAATCTCTGCCAGCGATAACCTAGCTTTTCCTGGAATTTCCACAAAACAAAAAGTAGAACATTGAGTAGCCTTTGCATGGCCTGGTTAAAGGCTCTAGCGTAAAGGCAAGGGGAATGAATGTAAGGATCTTAATCATTCTGGGACCACCCACCCTCAGACAATTCATGAAATCTACAGTTCCTCTCCCCACAAAATTCACCAACATGCAAAATTTGCAGACAATTTTAGGGAGGCTCAGGCTCTGATGCTCATTTCAAGTCCTGCAAACCACTGAGCATCAATTTATTACTTAATGAATAGGAAGAGTGAACCAGCTGCTCTCCTTGAACTGCCCATATTTCTGTCCAGTCTGAAGCCAAGAAAGCTTACAGATGCTTCAAACCATGAACAGGGAAGGATCAAAAGAACTGTGAGGGAAGGATCCAAACGTGTAGACACTTACTCAATTCTTTCAGGAGCTTCCCTAAAACAGAAAGAGAATATTCAGTGGTCAACACAGGAATGTGTATGGTGCAAACACAACCCTGGCTCCTTGTTCATAGGAAATGAACTATGTATGGTGTCTGAAGGACATGGGATCTCTTAGAAATCCCCACACCCCCTATCCCCTTGCCTCAGTACTGAGTATCTCTATCTGGGATAAAAACAAGAGGTCAGAAATGACTTCCTGAAGGTACTCTTGGCCCCATTGGAACCAAGAATAAGCCATGGTACTGTGTTTCTCTCTACCACTTACTCTGGCATTTGAAGTAGAAAATCCTCACTCCACTGACAACACCACATATGCCAATGCAGGCCAATATCAGTAAAATGGACACCAGGCTCCAAGGTGAAGGCTGGAAAAATGTCTCTGAAAAACAGTCACAGACTCTTAGTGATTTCAGAACAGCAAAGATAACTTGATTCTCATTTAAGGTGTCCTCTTGGACCTCAATAAGGAAGGATATAACCCTCTAAAGTTTAAAACTTTGCATATCTGAACAAGTCATGATTGATCTGGATTTTATTTTTGTATATAAAGTGAGATTAAGTTCTGATTTCATTTTTTCTAAATGGATAACAACTGTGCTGGCACCAATTATTATTATTATTTTAATTTTATTGTTATTTGGGTGAAAGTTTACAGAGCAAATTCATCTTCCATACAGTAGTTCACATTCACTTTGTCTCATGACATTGACTGCAATCTCCCACAATGCAATGGCTCTTCTCCCACTTCTTCCCTATAGCCACCTCTTCCCTTCCATACACTCCTGCCCCTCAGCTGTCTCCTTGTGCATACACAATCATTCTATTTTCCCATGATTGATCTCTCCAAGGAGTGTATCTAGCTAATGTAAATGTTCAGCTCACATGCCTGTCTTTTGTTTGGCTGGAAGCCACAGGAGTGGGTTCAATTCCAGACCTGAAGGGTAGCTAGGGGCCATAGTCTCAGGGTTTCCACCAGGTTCTAGAAAACCAGCAAACCTGGTCCTCTTTTTTTTTTTTTCTCCAAATGATTTTGAGTTTTGTTCCACATTGTTCTTCCATTCTATCCAGGATCTCCTATGTAGATCCCCCTCCAAGTGGTTGACAGTGGTAGCCAGGCACCCTCTAGTTCTGGTCTCATAGTCATATAGGCTAAGGATCACATGGTGTACCAGTCACTTGGACTAATGTTTCCATGCATCTTTGGTTTTCATCATTCTTCTTTGCTCAGGATGAGGAAAGATCCATCATTGCATCTAGATGGCCACTTGCAAGTTTTTGAGGTCCCAGTCACTACTCACCAAAGTAGGATGTGGAACAATGTTTTTGTGAAGTATGTTATGCCAGTTGACCTTGAAGTCTCCTGTGACCATGGTTCTGAGCCCACAGGTCCAACTACTTGCTCCCTCTGGGTAGTTGGCTGTGGCCAAGAAGTATCAACATTATCCCTTGTCAGCTCTACTGTATATCTGGGAATGCTTGCAGAAAATACAATTACACTTGTAGAAACACTGTCTCCTGACCCAATACATGGTCATGTGCACACTCCTCCCTGCACAGACATACCTAATTGTTCACCCTGCCCATCCATCTGTCCACCCATAGATCAATGTTTTCCATCACTGACAATGCAATACTGTATGTGCAAAAGGGGTCATCTTTGTTGTCTGTTCCTCCCATACACCTCTCTATGTCTTCCTCTTCCACAATGCCACTGTGTTGATCACTCACATTTGGTACATTGCCCTTCTCTTAACCCAAATCAATACTTGTCTCTACCTATTAACAGTGTTCCCTCTCCTCCACTCCCACCCCTGGTAATCAACAAAGAAAATGTCCTTCCATATATAAACCTTTCCTTGACTTATAATAACGGACTAATACAATATTTGTTCTTCTGTGATTGCCTTATGTCACTCAGCATAATGTCCTTCAAGTTCACCCATGTTATGTGGTGTATTGCAGATTCTACATTATTCTTCAGGGTTGCATAATATTCCACTGTGTGTATGTACAACAATTTGGTCATCTGTTCTTCTGTTGATGGGCACCTAAGTTGTTTCCATGTTTTTGCTATTGTAAATAGTGCTGCAATGAACATGGATGTGCATCTATTTCTGTACTGGTTCTCACTTCTTTAAGATGTTGTTGTTGTTATGTGCCATTGAGTTGGCCCCGACTCATAGTGACCCCTTGTTGGGTTGCTGAGGCAGTATCACTACGGAAATAGATTGCCCAACCTTCCTTCTGAGGAGTGGCTGGTGGGTTTGAACTGCCAGCCTTCTGGTTAACAGTCAAGTGTGAAAATTTCTTCATGTGTTTGTGTGACCACCTGAATATCCTCTTTGGTGAAGTGCCTATTCATGTCTTCTGCCCATTTTTTAATTGGATTATTTGTCTATTTGTTGTTGAGGTGTTGGAGTTTTCTATAAATTTTAGAGATAAGTCCCTTGTCAGATATGTCATTGCTGAATATTTTTTCCCAATCTGCAGGTTCTCTTTTTACTCTTTTGGAGAAGTCTTTGGAAGCACATAAAAATTTAATTTTCAGAAGGTCTCATTCATCTAGTTTATCTTCTACTGTTTGTGCATTTTGGATTATGCTTGATAGTCTATTCCATATATTAAACAAACTAAATCAAACTCACTGCTGTTGAGTCAATTTCAACTCATAGCAACCCCTCCTTGGGTTTCTGAGGCAGTATCACTATGGAAATAGATTTCCCAATCTGCCTTCCAAGGAGTGGCTGGTGGGTTTGAACCTCCAGCCTTCTGGTTAGCAGTCAAATGCCTTAGGCACTATGGCACAAGAGAATTTGCCCCTGGAGTTTCCTTGAGGAACTTTATAGTTTTAAATTTCGTATTTAAGTCTTTGATTCATCTGGAGTTAGTTTTTGTGTATGGTGTGAGGTACAGATCTTGTTTCATTTTTCTGCAAATCGATATCCAGTTTTGCCAGTACCATTTGTTAAACAATCTCTTCCCCATTCAATGGATTTTAGCCCTTTATCAAAGATCAGTTGACCATAGGTGGATGGATCTATTTATGGGTTCTCAATTGTATTCCATTGGTCTATGTATCATTAAACCAATACCAGGCAGTTTTGACTACTGTGGATGTATAGTAGGTTTTGAGATCTGGGAGTGTGAGACCTCCTGCTTCGTTCTTGTTCTTCAACAGTGCTTTGCTTATCTGAGGTCTTTCTTTTCCACATAATATTAATGATATGTTTTTCTACATCCTTAAAGAATGTTGATGGGATCTGGATTGGGATTGCATTCAATGTATAGATCATTTTGGGTAGAACTGACATTTTTACAATGTTCAATCTTCCTATCTACTAGCTTGGTATGTACTTCCATTTATGTAGTTCTATTATGGTTTCTTGAAGTAGTCTTCTGTAGTTTTCTTTGTACATGTCTTTTATGTTCCTGGTAAGATTTATTCCCAAGTATTTTATTTTTTTGGCAACTATTGTAAATGTTACTGATTTTCTTATTTCTTTTTCAGCAATCTCTTTGCTGGTGTAGAAGAATCCAACTGATTTTTGTATTGTTGATCTTGTGTCCTTTCAGGATGTAAATCTCTCAATTAGTTGCAGTAGTTTTTTTTTTTTTTTTTTTCTCCTGAGTCTCTTGACTTGTCTGTGTATGAGATCATATCACCAACAAATAGGGATAGTTTGACTTCTTCCTTACCCATTTGGATGCCCTTGATTTCCCTTTCTTCCCTTATCATTGACACCAGTTATTGCATGAACTTTTCTTTATCAACCGTCACATGTAATGCCACCTCTGTCTACATTAAGTTTCTGTTCTTATTTCAATTTGTTTCCAGACTCTGTTCAGTGTCCTTGGTCCACTTGTTTATCCTTGCAATAATTTTGACTGTCTTAATCTTCAAAGCTCTGGAATACATCTTTATA